CTGGGTTCAGGCAATTCTCCTGCCTCAACCTCCTGAGTAGCTGGGATTACAGGCATGTGCCACCATGCCCAGCTAATGTTTTGTATTTTTAGTAGAGATGGGGTTTCACCATGTTGACTAGGATGGTCTCGATCTCTTGACCTCGTGATCCACCCGCCTCAGCCTCCCAAAGTGCTGGGATTACAGGCTTGAGCCACTGCGCCCGACTTTTTTTTTCTTTTTTAAAAATGATTTTATTTTCTTTTTTTTTGTTGTTTGTAGAGACAGGGTCTTGCCATCTTATATAGGCTTCAGGCTACTCAAACTAACTCCTGGGCTCAAGCAATCCTCCTCCCTTAACCTCATAAGTGCTGGAGTTATAGGCATAAGCCACTATGCCTAACTTTGATTTTTTTTTTTTCTTTTAGTAGAGATGAGATCTTGCTACACCGCCAAGCTGGTCTCAATCTGCTGGGCTCTAGCAGTCCTCCTGCCTCGGCCACTGAAAGTGCTGAGATTACAGGTGTGAGAAACTGTATTTGGCTGAGTGTCTAGATTCTGTAAACTTGTTCCCCACCCTCTTCTTTATATTAAGAATTGTGTTTAGCTATAGATATCCTAAAACCAAGTTGGAGCAGCTCAAAAGAAAAAAAAGCAGAGAGAGAAGCATTTTTCTCACAAAACAGGAGCCCTGAATCTGCTGGGACTGCCCTGGCATCTCAGAGGTGATTTTCCCAGGCCATCCTGGGGATTACAATGCAGCTGCAGCAGCTTCAGCCATCACAGTTGTGCCCCATGCAGGAAGGAGGGGAAGAGGTAGGAAGAATGGTGCCAGCCTCATCTGTCCCCTTTTGACAGAACTCCAGATGTTACCTATTAGGGTCTCTTTAGCCAGAACTAGGTCACCTCCACTTGCACTGACCCTAGTTGCTAGGGAGGCTAGAAAGCTGGGGTGGGGGTGTCTAGATCGTCATAATTGGCTTGGGCAAGTCATGATCCCTTTACTATGGCTGGTACATTGGTACCCTGACCACATTCTAGAACAAATAGGATCTGGCCATGGTTGTGCAACCAGCAATGCCTGCAGATTAGCCTCCCACCCAGATACTTCTGATGCCACCCAGGACTTTCTGATTCTGCAGAAAAACATATGTGCCTCCTTGATAGGGTGTGACCCATCAACCTGGAGTGGGGTGGATCTGCTGCAGACTCTGTGTTCCTGCCCCTTTTATTGGTTGTCACAGCTGTTACTTCAAACATGTATGTCAGAAGCAAATTCTTATCACCCTGGATATACGCCTGTCACTCACAAATCTTATGCCATAACCAAATCCAGGATCTAAAGCATGTGCCCATAAATATTAAGCAGAATGTCATGCTTGCACAGATTAGCAGTATGGGGTCAAAATCATGATGGACAGTTTCAGTAACTTAATATCTAGACAATTATAAATGCTCCAGAAGCAGAAGGTGTTCAAGGTTTTATGTTAAGACAAAAATATATTTTCCATGTAATGCTTTGTATTAATTTCCTGTTGCTCCTGTAACAAAGCACCGCAATCTAGGTGCCTTGAAAAAGCACCGATTTGGCTGGGTGTGGTGGCTCACACCTATAATTCCAGCACTTTGGGAGGCCAGGGTTGACAGATCACTTGAGGCCAGGAGTTTGTGACCAGCCTGGCCAACATGGCACAATGCTGTTGCTGCTAAAAATATAAAAATTAGCTAGGTTGGCTGGGCGCGGTGGCTCACGCCTGTAATCCCAACACTTTGGGAGGCCGAGGCAGGTGGATCACAAGCTCAAGAGATCGAGACCATCCTGGTCAACATGGTGAAACCCCGTCTCTACTAAAAATACAAAAAATTAGCTGGGCATGGTGGCGCATGCCTGTAATCCCAGCTACTCAGGAGGCTGAGGCAGGAGAATTGCCTGAACCCAGGAGGCGGAGGTTGCGGTGAGCCGAGATCGCGCCATTGCACTCCAGCCTGGGTAACAAGAGCGAAACTCCGTCTCAAAAAAAAAAAAAAAAAAAAAAAATTAGCTAGGCATGGTGTTGCATGCCTGTAATCCTAGCTATTCAGGAGGCTGAGGCATAGAATCCCTTAAACCCAGGAGGTGGAGGTTGCAATGAGCCAAGATCATACTACTGCACTCCAGCCTGGATGACAGATCAAGATTCAGTGTCAAAAAAAAAAAAAAAAGACAGACTTGTTTTCTTACAGTTGTGGTGGTCAGAAGTTCAAAATGGTTCATCCAGGCTAGTTCCTCTGGCAGCTCTTAGGGAGAATGCATTTCTGTCTTTCTCAGCTGCTGGAGGCTGCCCAGACTCCTTGGCTCATGGACCCTTCATCTTCAGACTGCCTCAATCTGATGCATTTCCGTTATCACAACCCCTTCCCTGACTCACACCCTTCTGCTTCCCTCCTATATGGGCCCTTTGGTCAGATTTAGGGCCCTAGGATAATCTCCCATTTCAAGATTCTTAATCACAGCTACAATATCCCTTTTGTTGCATAAGGTTCCCAAGTATTGGGATGGGGACATCTTTTAGGGGCCATTATTCAGTATACCACATGAGTAAAAGAGAGAGTACATTTTAAAATTATTTTTAAAGAAAAGAAGCCTAGTCAATAGAAGAAGACCCTTTCCCTACAAAAAAAATTTAAAAGTTATCCAACATTGTGGCACGTGCCTGTAGTCCTAGCTACTTAGGAGGCTGAGGTGGGAGGATTGCTAAAGCCCAGGAGTTCGAGGCAGCAGTGAGCTATGATTGCACCACTGTACTCCAGCCTGAGTGACAGAGCATTAAAAAATAAAGGAAAAGAGGCCGGGAGCCTTAATCCCAGAACTTTGAGAAGAGCCAAGGCGAGTGGTTCACTTGAGTCCAACAGTTCAAGACTAGCCTCGGCAACCTGGTAAAACCGCATGTCTACAAAAAATGCAAAAAAATTAGCTGGGTGTGGTGGTGTATGCCTGTGGTCCCAGCTGTTTGGGAGGCTGAGCCCAAGAGGTGGAGGTTGCAACGAGCTGAGATCATGTTACTACACTCCAGTCTGGGGGACAGAGAAAGACCTTGTCTCAAAAATAAAATAGTGATAGAGAATCCCTGTCCGGGCATATCCCCACTCCCATTGCACCCACAGGCATTGGTGGGCTCAGGGATGGCTTTGCAATCTTGAGCCCCTTCTTGGCCCCTGTCACTCATCTGGCCTCATTCCTTACTGGTTCCCTCCTGTGGTTGCTCAACTTCACCTGCTGCAGGTCACTTCCTGGCTGCCTGCAGTCCCAGCTCTTTTTTTCCCCACCTGCAACTGTCTTGATTGAATTACTTTTTTTTTTTAATATTTTTGAGTCCTAGGTCTTTTCCCATTTCCTTTCCTCATCAACTGCTCACCTTCTCTCTCAGGGACTCCGTGCCTTCCCAAGTGCCAGGATCAGTGAGTCGTTCTGGAGGCACCCGGGAGTCAGGCTGGAGTTGGAGCCTGGCCCAACCTCAGTGCTCTTTGCTGTTCCTCGCCAGGCCAGTTCACTAGTGTTCTCAAGTCCCCCTCCTCCGGATGTATTCCACTCTCTTCCAGTAGGCAGCGATAGTCTTGGCCGGGGTCAGCAGTGTTGTATTCAGTCTGTGTGTTTCGTCTGTGTTGTCTCTCAGCCAGTCTCCTGGTTCATGAGCCTGTTCCACAGATGTTCCTGAGGACCTGCCATGTATTGCTGTTTGTGCTGTGGATGCAGCAAAGAAAATGACAGGAAAGGCTGAGCTCTCACACATCTGGGAGATGGAAGTCTGAGAAATGGATGCCAGTGCCAGGGAGTGATGAGGCTGTAAAGGAAAATGCACCTGGGGAGGGTGGGGTGGGAACCTCATGCCCCGGGACTGGCAGGGAGGCCTCTCTGAGAAAGTGACACAAGCTGGGGCACAAAGGAGCAAGGTGGGCAGATGTCTAGGGACGAGGGTTCTTGGTAGAGACAGCAGCAGGTGCAAAGGGCCCCAGGAAAGAGTGTGGAGGATGCATTGGATGGATGTAAGGAGCCATGTGGAGCAGAGTGTGCTTGGGGCAAGAGTCAGGAGATGAGGCAAGCCAGGGCATGGTGGAGGAGGGCACAGGGGCATGTCCATCCCCAGAAGTGACTGTAGGGTGAATGGAGGAGTTACCAGGGCTGGCCTGCAGTGAGGAGGAGGGTGGTCTCTTTGGTTTTGCATAATAGCTTTATCGAGATACAATTCACATACCATAAGTTCACCTATTAAAGTGTACCATTCAGTGGTTTTGAGTATATTTACAGATTGTGTGCATCTGTCTTCACTATCTAATTCCAGAACATTTCATCACCATCTTAGTCAGCTTGGGCTACCATGACAAAATACTACCACCTAGGTGTCTTATGTGACAGACATTTATTTCTCATGGTTCTTGAGGCTAGAATTCTAAGAGCACGGTGCCAGCTGATTCAGTTCCTTCGTCAATTGCAGAAGGCCGCCTTTTCGCTATGTCCTCATGTGGCAGAGAGAGAGGAAGCAAGTCCTATGGTATTTCTTCTTATAAGGTCACTAATCTCATTCTTAAAGGCCCTACCCTCGTGACCTAATCACCTCTCAAAGCCCTCACCTCCTAATACCCTCACATTGGGGATTAGGGTTTCAACATAGGAATTTTGCTATCAACAGTCCATAGCAGTCACCCCAAAAGTCACCCATTAGCAGTCACTCTTCATCTTTCCTGTCCCCTGACAACCAGTAATCTACTTTCTGTCTCTATGGATTTGCCTGTTCTAGAAATTCCATATGAATGGAATCTTATAATTTGTGACCTTTGTGTCTGGCTTCTTTCCCTCAACATGTTTTCCAGGTTCATCCATGTTGTAGCATATGTCAGTACTTTGTTCTTTTTTGTGCTTGAATAATATCCATTGTATGGATAGACTATATTTTGTTTATACTCTATCTATATAGACTATATGGGGCATTGGGTTGAGGGGCATTTGGGTTGTTTCCACTTTTGGCTATTAATTAATAGTGCTGCAATAAACATTCATATATACATTTTTGTATGGACTGACTTGTATTTTAGAAGAAACCTCTGGGTGCTATGCAGAGAGTCAATTTTTTTTTTTTTTTTTTTTTTTTTTTTTTTTTTGAGATTGAGTCTTGCTATATTGCCCAGGCTGCAGTGCAGTGGGGCATCTCGGCTCACTGCAACCTCTGTCTCCTGGGTTGAAGCGATTCTTGTGCCTCAGCCCCCTGAGTAGCTGGGACTACAGACATATACCACCATGCCTAATTTTTGTATTTTAGTAGAGACAGGGTTGACCAGGCTGGTCTTGAAGTCCTGATCTCAAGTGATCCACCCATCTTGGCCTCCCAAAGTTCCAGGATTACAGGCGTGAGCCACCACTCCTAGCCAGAGAATCAAATTTGGGGGCCAGAGGTGACAGACCAGGGAGCCTGGCACCCGGCCAGCCTCAGTTCCTCCAGCATCTCTCCTGTTGTCAAGCTCTTGTTCATTCATTCCCTCGATAAGTGCCTTCAGCATTCACTGAGACAGATATTTTTGAGCTTCTACTACTTGTCATTTTAGGCACTGACTGTGAACAGTCTAGTGTGATGAGGTGGACACTGAATGAATGAGCACATGACCTGTGTTGTAGTAAAGACAAGAGCAGATGAGGGGGCTTGAGAGGGCTTGGAGAAAGCAGGGGAGCCTGGCTTAAGACAGAGTCCCTGTCCTAATCCCCAGAACTGGTTATCTCAGATACTAGGTGAGCAAGAGGGTCAGAATTAGAAAAGTAGATGTGACCACAGAAGCAGAGGTCAGCGAGAGAGATTTGAAGATGTTGTCCTGCTGGCTCCAGAGGCGATAGGAAGCCAGGAGTGCAGGCGGCCTCTAGGAACTGGAAGATGCAAGGATTTTCCTGTAGAACCTCCCCAGGAGAAAGCAGCCCTGCCAACACCTTGATTTTAGGACTTCTGCATTCCAGAACTATAAGATAATAAGTGTGTGTTTTAAGGCACAAAGTTTTTGGTCAGTTATTACAGCAGTAAACAAAACAGGGAACTAATATACCTTTGCTTCATTGCCAGTGCGTGGCCCACAGCAGGTGCTCAATAAATGTTTGTCGAATGCTTGAAGCCATGTTTGAGGGCACTTGATGTTGAAATAAGAGGAGAATCAGGGGACTTGCCAGGGCAGCTGGTTAGGATACTAGTTCAATAACATAGGCCTAAGGTGTTGGAGGCCGCCTGTCCATCTTCCTTTTTTATCTCCCAATAGCTCAGAGATCTTTGGGTTTTCTTTCAGGCTGCGAGCCTCGATCTGAAGGCCAAGCATCAGGCAAGGAACAGGGCCTTCCTGAAGAGGAGCCTTCCCCAGTCACAGGAAGGGAGGGATTCCCAAGAGGTGCTCCTTATCCCACCACGTTAGGGAAAGGCTGGGAGTGTCAGAGCCAGGGCTCGGCACTCAAGGACCAGAATAACTTGAAGCAGTTAGAATTTGGCCTCAAAGAAGCACCAGTTCAAGATCAAGGCTACAAAACTCTCAGACTTGGGGAAAACTGTTCCCTGAGTTCCAACCCAAATCCATTCCCGGAGATCTCTAGAGGAGAATATTTCTATACTTATGACTCACAGATTACAGACTCAGAACATGACTCAAGCCTATTTAATCAGCAGACAGGCTCCCCGGAAAAACAGCCCAGTGAAAACAGTGACTGTCACAAAGCTTCCAGTCAGGCCATTACAGTTACAGAACTCACAAAAAGCCAGGTGCAGGACAAACCCTACAAATGTACTGACTGTGGGAAGTCATTTAACCATAATGCACACCTCACGGTGCACAAGAGAATTCATACGGGAGAAAGACCTTACATGTGCAAAGAGTGTGGGAAAGCTTTCAGCCAGAACTCCTCCCTGGTTCAGCATGAGCGAATCCACACTGGAGACAAGCCCTACAAGTGCGCCGAATGTGGGAAGTCTTTCTGCCATAGTACACACCTTACCGTCCATCGGAGGATTCACACTGGGGAGAAGCCTTATGAGTGTCAGGACTGTGGGAGGGCCTTCAACCAGAACTCATCCCTGGGTCGGCACAAGAGGACACACACCGGGGAGAAGCCGTACACCTGCAGTGTGTGTGGGAAATCCTTCTCTCGGACCACTTGCCTTTTCCTGCACCTCAGAACTCACACCGAGGAGAGGCCCTATGAGTGTAACCACTGCGGGAAGGGCTTCAGGCACAGCTCATCCCTGGCCCAGCACCAGCGGAAGCACGCTGGGGAGAAGCCCTTTGAGTGCCGCCAGAGGCTGATCTTTGAGCAGACGCCAGCTCTAACAAAGCAGGAATGGGCAGAAGCCCTGGGCTGTGACCCACCTTTGAGTCAAGATGACAGGACTCACCGGAGCGACAGACCCTTCAAATGTAATCAGTGTGGGAAATGTTTCATTCAGAGCTCTCACCTCATCCGGCACCAGATAACTCACACCAGAGAGCAGCAGCCCCATGGGCGAAACCGGCGGCGTGAACAGTCCTCGAGCAGGAGCTCACACCTGGTTCAGCATCAGCACTCAAACTCCAGAAAGAGCTCTGCAGGTGGAGCAAAGGCAGGGCAGCCAGAAAGCAGAGCCCTGGCTCTGTTTGACATCCAAAAAATCATGCAAGAGAAAAACTCTGTGCACGTTATTGGGGTGGAGGAGCCTTCTGTGGGTGCGTCCATGGTATTTGACATCAGAGAATCCACATAGGAGAGAAACTTTGCTGATGACTTTTAACCACAGGTACAAAAATGTAAGTCTACATAGTGTACTCATGGAAAGAGGGGCTGGGGGTAGTCATTGGTGACTTCCGACTTCCTAAGGAAATGATGCTTCCCAAGCACCTGAGATTGGTTGGTTCCAAATCTATCAAACTCAGTGCCCTCTTGAACAACATATTTTGCAACATAACGTCCATTACACCACAGTGAGTTCACAGGTAATGTCACCTACCCACATGTGTAATGTCAAAAAAATCAATATGCAGCCCCATTTTGTAAAGGATCATTAAAATGAAAGTAATTTATCGTAGAGTAAATTGTAGAGTAATGTGTACTGAGTTGGTGCAGTATTTCTCCTTGTCACTGTGTGTGGGCCTGATTTTGCCGGAAGACCTGGGACAGTAGCCTGTTGCTTGCGGACTGGTAGAGGGTATGATGTTGGCCATGGAAATACTGTGAGGAGCCTTCCTGTGTGGAACGTGACTTTCCAAATTAGTAACTAACTTGGAAAAGTTTTGAACAAAACAGTATGCTATTGCATTCCTGGGAAATTATGGGTAAGTTTCAAGCATGCAGCAATTAGCTTGTGTTTACGGGTGAAGTCAAGTTAGGTTCTCAGTTCATACACTGAAAACTGGTTATTCTACATCTGTTTATGTGGTCCACAGGGGCCAGTTCTGCTCCTCACCATCTTTGCAGCATGCATGGCTCCTGCTCACCTTTCAACCACATCTCCAACTCAATTAGGTGACAAGCCCCCATGACATTTCATAGCATTCCCTGCAGGGGAGTGTTACAGCTCCTCTTGAAAAACATCTGGGATTGCTATGAGCCACAGGTTCCTTTTTTTTTTCTTTGAGATGGAGTCTTGTTCTGTCACCTAGACAGGAGTGCAATGGTGTTATCTCGGCTCACCACAACCTCTGCCTCCCAGGTTAAAGCGATTTTCCTGCCTCAGTCTCCTGAGTAGCTGGGATTATAAGCGCGTCACCACATCTGGCTGATTTTTGTATTTTTAGTAGAGGTGGGGGTTTCACCATGTTGCCCAGGCAGGTCTCAAACTCCTGACCTCATGATCCGCCCATCTTGGCCTCCCAAAATGCTGGGGTTACAGGTATGAGCCACCATGCCCGGCCAAGCCAGAGGTTCTTAACTGGTAGTGCTTTTGTCTCCAGTACATTTGGTGACATCTAAAGACATTTTTGGTTGCTGTGACTGGTGCTTTTGACTCCAGGGTACATTTTGTGACATCTAGAGACATTTTTGGTTGCTGTGCCCCTGTCATGTAGTGGGTAGAGGCCAAGAATGCTGCTCAACATCCTATAGTGCCCAGGACAGCTCCTCAACAAAGAATTATCTAGCTCCAAATGTCAGTAGTGCCAAAATGGAGAATCCACCTGGGTATAAGTCCAGCCCAGCAACATAGCTGACATTTTTAAAACTTCAAGCTGGGTGTAGGGGTTCACACCTGTAATCCCAGCACTCCAGGATGCCGAGGAGGGCAGATCACTTGAGGTCAGGAGTTGGAAACTAGCCTGGGTCACGTGGTAAAACCCCATCTCTACTAAAAATACAAAAATTGGCTGGGCGTGGTGGCTCACACCTGTAATCCCAGCACTTTGGGAGGCTGAGATGGGTGGATCATGAGGTCAGGAGTTCAAGACCAGCCTGGCCAAGATGGTGAAACCCCACCCCCCGTCTCTACTGAAAATATAAAAATTAGCTGGATGCCGTGGCAGGTGCCTGTAATCCCAGCTATTTGAGAAGCTGAGGCAGGAGTAACACTTGAACCTGGGGGCGGAGGTTGCAGTGAGTCAAGATCACGCCACTGCACTCCAGCTTGGGCAACACAGTGAGACTATGTCTCAAAACAAAAACAAAAAAACTGCAAAAATTAGCCGAGTGTGCTGGCATGCACCTGTAATTCTAGCTACCTAGGGGAGGCTAAGGCACGAGAATCGCTTGAACTAGGAGACGGAGGTTTCAGTGATCCAAGATTATACCATTGTACTCCAGCCTGAATGACAGAGCAAGACTCCATCTCAAAAAACAAAAACAAAAAAAAAGCAACCTTCAAATTGATTGATCAGGCTGGACTAGCAATCGTATGAGCTTGATTTTAGCAAATGTTGTTAGCTAGCTTATACATGATGTACTTTTTAGTGTACCCTTCACTGTTCGCAGTATTCATAGTTGGTATGAAATAAGGAAGATTATCCATTTATTTTACTTTTTTGAGACAGGGTCTCAATTGTCTTTTTTTTTTTTTTTTTGAGATGAAGTGTTGCTCTGTTGCCCAGGCTGGAGTGCAGTGGCATGATCTGGGCTCACTGCAACCACCACCTCCCGGGTTCAGGGGATTCTCCTGCCTCAGCCTCTTGGGTAGCTGGGACTACAGGCGCATGCCACCATGCCTGGCTAATTTTTGTATTTTTAGTAGAGACGGGGTTTCACCATGTTGGTCAAGCTGGTCTCAGACTCCTGACCTTGTGATCTGCCCTTGGCCTGCCAAAGTGCTGGGATTACAGGCGGGAGCCACTGCACTTGGCCAAGATAGGATCTCAACTCTTTTACCCAGGCTGGAGTCAGTGGTTTAATCGTGGCTCACTGCAGCCTTGATTTCTTGGGCTCAAGTGATCCTCCCACCCCAGCCTCCCAAGTAGCTGGGACCACAGGTATGTGCCGCCATGCCTAATACCTGTATTTTTGTTTTTTGCAGAGACAGGATCTCATTGTGTTACCTAGGCTGGACTCGAACTCTTGGGCTCAAGCAGTCCTCCCACCTTGGCCTCCCAAAGTGTTGGGATTACAGGCATGAGCCACCATGCCCAGTCACTTATTTTTCTGAATAATCTTTAGGGATTTAATGTGGAGATTTTCAAACATGAGTAATATATTTTTGCTGGTACTCCCACCCGCCTCCCCTGCTCTCCTGCTCCAGACACACACACACACACACACACACACACACACAAACTGTGTTGGTCCACTGAAACAAAACCATTTGGCATTTTTGCTGTGCACTGATAGTGTGAGAGCAATGGTGGGTAAAACTGCCGAGCCTGAGTTCAAAGCAGGGCAGTGGGCAGTGGTCCTGAGGTTGTAAAATATTCTTCCCCACTGGGCATTACAGTAAAGCAAAAAAAAAAAAAAAAAGCCAATTTCACTCTTATTTCTTTCTTTTTCCTTTTAAGACTGAGTCTCACTTTGTTGCCCAGGCTGGAGTGCAGTGGTGCAATCCTGGCTCACTATAACCTCCACCTCCCAGGTTCAAGTAATTCTCATGCTTCAGCCTTCTGAGTAGCTGGGATTACAAGTGTGCACCGCCATGCCTGGCTAATTTTTGTGTTTTTAGTAAGAGATGGGGTTTCATCACGTTGGCCAGGCTGGTCTCAAAACTCATGACTTCAAGTGATCTGCCTGCCTCAGTCTCCCAAAATGCTGGGATTACAGGTGTGAGCCAGGGTGCCTGGCCTAATTAATTTTGTTAAATCTCAAGTAGAACTGTATTGTCATTATCACATCTAAACAGATACCATTAAATATCTAGTGTTCAGATGTTCTGGGTTGCCTCATAAATTTTGTTTTGTTTTCTATTTGTTTTGTGGTAATCATAATCTAAACAAGATGTACAGAGTGCATTTGGTTGGAATTTTTCTCTCTCTCCTTTTTTTTTAATAGAGTCGTGAGTCTTGCTCTGTCACCTGGTTCCCTGCAACCTCCCAGGTTCAAGCGAATCTCCTGCCTCAGCTGCCCCAGTAGCTGGGACTACAGGTGTGCGCCACCACACTCAGCAAATTTTTTAATTGTTTGTAGAGATAGGGTTTTACTGCATTGCCTAGGCCAGTTTCAAACACCTGGACTTAAGCAATCCTCCCACCTTGGCCATCCAAAGTGCTAGGATTACAGGTGTGAGCCACTGCACCCTGCCACACAGCAGTTGGAATAACCATGTTGGAATGGTTGAGCATTGGAACTCTTGTGTGCATTTTTGCTTTTTGGATGTTGGGAGTGTCAGAACTCAGCTATCCAATCAGAGCAGAGCTGGCTTCCAGGATGATAGAGCCAGCTTTGTGGTTCATCTCTAGAGGTTCAACAAGACCCTGTCAATGGCCAGGTTTGTTTCTCTGCATTTACTTCTTCGGAGTTGTCCTCAATACATTTCCTGTGTCAGCTCTCACTTTTCACAGCAACTCTGGCCTCATACTTTAGCCTGCGCCACCTTCTATCTCCTTAGATAACCTCCATTTGCATAGCTAAATGGTGCATCCTCAGACAGTGCCACAATCATAGTTCTGAAAGTTAGTACCATTTTACAGATAGGCAAAATTAGGCACAGGACAAACAGTAGTAGTAACTAGAGCAAAAGTAACCAGCCCAAGCTAGGAAGTGGTAGAGTTAGAATTTGATGTCAGCACCTAGCTGACCATGGCTTAACCAAATTAGGCTTTGTTCAAAGGCTGTCTTTTCAATGGCTCTGTGTCATAACCATCTTTTCTGCAATTCTCTTAACCTTTCCATTGTGGTCACAAGGAGACTACTATGACTCCAGTCATTGCATCTACAATGAAGACTGAAAGAAGGGGGAAGGGGCAGGCCAACTCTGATGACGTTTCAAAGAAAAGGCATTCCCAGAAGCCTCCAGCACATGCCCACCAAAGTCTCCTTGGCCAAGGCTGGGTCAGGGGGCCACCGCAATACCAATGGGGCTTAGAGAGGTCGTATTTACCTTTATAACCTCTGTGGTGGAGATAGGTCGGAGAGAACAGTCTTGGAAAGTGGATGTTGGAGGCAACTAGCAGTATCTGCTGCTTTTCTCCTTCAGGCTTTTGGGAGAATTCCTTGTGCTCACCATTCCCTTGGTGACGGCTCACACCTCAGACCCTCTGTCCGCCCCGACTGCTCCACAGAACCCACTGCAACCACTGTCCAGGGTACCACCACCATGGTTGTGAAGCCTGCTGACCTCTTTGCAAACCTCTATCCCCTTGCACTGTGGGGTTCCTTCCAACTCTTCAGAGACTTCTCAACCTCCTTTCATCCCTCCTAAATGTTGGGGTCCCTGGGGTCTTGTCCCAGAGGCCACCTTATGCTCCACGCCCTCCTGAGGTGTCACCCACATCACTATATTTGTGCTGCTCACTCCCAAATCAATCTCGTGCTTCTGAGATTTGGGCTTCAGGCCCAAACACCTGCTGTGTGCTGCTGAGCAGCTCCCCTAGGTGTGCTGCAAGCTCCCCAAACCCAGCCTACCTCAAACAAAACTCATTTTCCACCCAGACCAGTCTCTGCTCCCCTGATCCCTTTCCTAGGGACTTTCCACTCACCATCCTATCATGGAAGCCAGAAAATCAGTCTTCTTGACCTCTCCCCTTCCTCACTCTGTGGAGTTAGACATCCTGTTGATTTTGCCATGTAAACATCTCGGATCCGCTTACTTCATTTCATCCCCACTGCCACCAAAAGAGCAGGACAGCCCAAAGAGGGGAAGTAACGTGCTACCAAACGGCCCAGCCGGATTGTGAACCAAACAGTCTGGTACCAAAACCCTACTCTTGATTGTTCCTCCTTTCTGCTCCACCAGCAGTTTGGGGCACAGGCCTGGGAATCCAGACAGGAAAGCTCCTCTCCTCTGAAGAGGTGGGACCAACAGTAACAGCATGGTTCTAGACAGCTCTGAAGTCAGGCCTGTGATTGCCTCATTCCATCCACCTTGACCCCCAAAACAGCCAGTCCTGAAGTGGTCACAGTTGATGCTTCTCTGAGGGAACATGGGATTGGCTGAGGTTACAGCAGCCTCACTGGGTGGTAAGCTGGGATTAAGCCATCAACTGGAACTCAACGAGCTTTCAGTTCTCAAAGGGGGTATGGGAGGGTTCTTATACATCTTCTGTGGAGGGCAGTTTATCACTCACTGAATTACAAATACATAAACCCTTTGTCTCACCAAACCTGCTGGGAGTATATATTTGTATGCGTGCAGGCTACATGGATTTCATTATGCTATTGATTTTAAAAGTAAAAGTTTGGAAACAACCTCCATGTCCACCATGGGGAACTGGCTAGGTCATTTATGGTGGAATGGTGATCATAACCTTAAAAAGGAAGACTCTTTATATACAGCTTGATTATATCTTATCCAAAATGCTTGGGACCAGAAGTGTTTCAGATCTTTGCATATTTTCTGTTTCTCAGTTCACATTTTCTAAGCATGATATTCCTACTGATTTCCTTGTAGATATTTTGAAACAGATAAGAAACTCCCTCAGTGGAAATTACTGTTAACTAGGGTAAAGGTTTTTTTTCTGTTCATAAAAGTTAATGTGAGTTCTTTGTAGCAAAACTTGGAAAATGCATAAAAGTAAAAAAAAAAAAAAAGTATGAAAACTTGTGTAAAATTCCTCATACTTTAGCCGTCCATAGATGGTCCTTACCATTAGGATTTTATTTTCCTTGCAATTTTTTCTTAAAATATGCACATGTGTTTACACATACATGTAGTGTACACTAAATTTTACATACACACAGAGGAATATATATGTGCATAGTTATCTTGTGTTTAGAAATTTGGAATCCCTTCTAGTTCTCTTGTAACATGTGCTTACTATATTTTGAAGATTTTCTCTATGAATTTCATGTAGTTTTTTAAATTAACTTTGAGGAGGATTGTAACATTGTGCTCTCCAACTCAGTATTTTACCAGGCTTGAGTTTTCTCAAAGTGGGCATGGGAGGGTTTCTTATACATTTCCAGTGGGAATGTGAATTGATAAGACTTCTGTGGAGGGCAGTTTATCAGCCACTATCTAAATTACAAATACATAAACTCTCTGTCTAAGCAAACCTGCTGTGAATGAATCCTACAAATATATTTGTATTTGTGCAGACTGTTTGTACATGGTTTTCATTATGCTATTGATTTTAAAAGTCAGAATTTGGAAACAACCCTCCATGTCCACCATGGGGAACTGGCTAAGTCATTTACAGTGGAATGGCGATCATAGCCTTAAAAATGAATACTCTTTATATACAGGTTAAGTATCCCTTATCCAAAATGCTTGGGACCAGAAATGTTTCAGATTTTTGAATTAAGGATGCTAAAACTATACTAATGCAAGAAAAAGCTTGTAGATATTCAAAGGCATCCAAAATAGTTAAGTAGAAAAAAAGGAAGGTATAAAACTGTAGAGTATGTTTCCATGTATGTAAAGACGAAACAGGCTGGGCATGGTGACTCACACCTGTAATCCCGCCACTTTGGGAGGCTGAGACTGGTGGATCACCCGAGGTCAGGAGTTCAAGACCAGCCTGACCATCATGGTGAAACACCATCTCTAATAAAAATATAAAAGCCAGGTGTGGTGGCGCACATTTGTAATCCCAGCTACTCAGTAGGCTGAGGCAGGAGAATTGCTTGAACCCAGGAGGTGGAGGTTATAGTGAGCCAAGACTGTGCCATTACACTCCAGTGTGGGCAACAAGAGCAAAACTCTGTCTCAAAATAAATAAACATTTGCTTATATGTACACACATAATCTCTGAAAGGGTAAAATTAGCAAGCATACTGGTTGGCCAGGAGAATTGGTAGGACAGTGATGAGGAATAATTTTCACTATTTATCTTTTTATATTTTTGGAATTTTGAAACATGTAAAATTACTACCAGTTCAAAAAATAAACAAAAATCTGAACTCTTTCAAATTAAAGTAAGTTTGATAATTTCTTTCATTGTTTACTGTCTGCTTTCCCCTCCAACATTGTTCACATGAGCAGAGACCATGTGTCTTGGTCATATTCATACTTGTTCTACATATACTTGTGTGTGTGTGTGTGTGTGTGTGTGTGTGTGTGTGTGTGTTCAGTTAGCAGAACCAGTTGCGTGTAAAACAGCTTTAACTCGATGATACCAAAGAGGTAAGGTAAGATAAAGGTTCCTGGAAGGTGGTTGTAGCACACATAAATTTCCAAGTTACTTTATTAAATTTCCTGTATCAATGAGCCCCAATTTTGAGAGTCCCCTACATGCAAGTTGGACCGAACCACCAAGTCCCCCATTTCCAGTGTTATCTGCATGTCCTCCAAGTTATTCAAGTTGTTTCTGTAATAGGTTACTGGGAAGAAATCTGCATCCAGTCTGAAAAGCAGTCTCCCATAGGTCTCTTGTAAGGAGATCCAACATAAACATCTTCCAGAATGCACTATACAACATGGTAGCTACCAGTCATATATAGCTATTTAGATGTATTTTTATTTTATTTTATTTTATTTTTTATTTATAGTGAGAGGGACTCACTGTGTTCCCCAAGGTGGTCTTGAATTCCTTGGCCTAAGTGTTTCTCCCACTGTGGCCTCCCAAAGTGCTGGGATTACAGGTGTGAGCCACCACACCTGGGCCTAGATGTAAATTTAAATTAATGAAAATTGAAAACAAAATTCAGTTCTTCAGTCACTAACCATATTTAACTTTTCACTAGTTAAAAGACATTTCCATAATTTCAGAAAGTTCTATTGGATGGTGGTGTAAAGGTAGATAGCTGATAGAGCTTTTAAAGTCCCCCTGTGATGATCTGACTGTAGTGGGAATAGGGAGGAGTAGGCTGAGTCAGTTTGCACATTGGGAGCCTTCTCCACTAGGTCATACAGGCCTTCTGTGTATAGATTGAATTACGTCCCACGCTGTCCCTGCGCACCTCCCTCAAAGTGATTTGCATCATGCAGGGCCTGCCTGTTATTAGGGAGTCTCCTGGATATACAGAAACAGGAATGTATGGGGACTGCATACACATGTTGCTCAATTTCTAGTTAAATGGCTGGAGATTGGGGATAAAGAAATGGTGGTATTCATATGGTGTAATGCTATTCATGTTTCAAAAAAGTTTTCAAAAAATGTTTAGTGGAGAAATGTTCAGGGTGAGTGGAAGAAAAAGAGTGTGTAAAATTAGATTATGATTGTTTTATACTCTATACGGACAAACCTAAATTGGATGGCATTTTGGAAATCTCACTTGGATACATGAAAACTGCCAAGATCATTATAAAGAAACAACAGGATCCGTTCTAGATTGAAAGCAATTTGAAATGAGACAGTAGAGTGTAATGCGTGTTTAGTTTGTGCTTGAATAAAAGATGAAAACTACGTAAGGCATTGGGGCAACTGGAGAGTTTAGCATGTGGACTGGATTGGTTACAGGCTTCAATGTCGTTCCTTGGATGAGTGGAAGAATGTACGTGTTCATAGGGGACATCTGCTTAATTATATACAAGGTTCAGGGGAAAATATCTCCGATATACTTTTATGTGTGTACGTGTGTGCGCGTAGAGAAAGAAAAAAGTAAACATGCTATATATTTAAAAGAACATACGAAACTATGGATGTCAATATACTTCCCTTCTAGTGCTGACAGGTTCCCACGCTTTGCTGCTCCCACGCTCCCCTTCCGGTCCCGGCACGCTGTGAACTCCATTTCCCAGAAGGCCTTGTATCTCGTGCATGGCCGTTATCAAGCAGGTAGCGCGCAGGGCCTTCTGGGAGGTGAAGTCCTGGGCGGTCGTTGGCCACCAGGCGGAAGGGCGTACCGGAAGTGCCGGCGGTGGGTATGTAAGTTGCGGCTGGGCGCGCGGAATGTTGCGCGGTCATCCTCTCTCTGGAGCCTGCCGCAGTGGTGAGTTCGTGGGTGTGGTGGAGCAGCAAGGATAATTATGAGGTACGGCGAGGCGCTCGTGGCCTGAGTGTGCTGGCGGTGGGTGTGACTGAGTGGGCGGGTAGGACCCGTGAGTGAAACGCGGACCCCGGGTCGGCGCGGTGCGAGAGGCGTGCGCGCGGCGTGTAGGGGCGCGATCTCCCGTGTCTGGCCAAGTGTTACCGCTTGTGCGCCCGTGGGAGGGGAGTGTTCTGCATGTGTTGACGCCACCTGTCTGTGCAGGCGTGACCTCAGTTGTGTGAGTTTGCCTTATACCCCTTACTGTCACTTCCCATTCCGTTTTCCTTCAGCCTCTGGCAAACCCTAATCCACTTTATTTGTCTAGATTCCCCTGTTCTGAACACTTCCTATAAATGGAGTCATACAATATGTGGTTTCTTGTGACTGGCTTTTTATCACTGAACATGTTTTCAGAGTCCATGTATTAGTTTTTCATTCCTCTGTATGACTGAATAATGCTCCATTATGTGGATATACCACAGTTTGTTTACTCATTCATCAGTTCATGGACACTGGGGTTGTTTACAACTCTTCTGATATTATAAGTGCTACTGCTGTAAACATTCATGTACAGGTATTTGTGTGGATGTATATTCTTAATTTGGGAAGGGGAGGCCATTGATGGGACCTAGGCTTGGGAAGAGCCTAGCCTGGGTGTATTTGTGTCTGTCTCAGGAGCACCTGTGTGCATGGCCATGACCACACCTGCTTCTTACTGCTTGTGCTCACTAGCCGTACTTCATTTTCCAGAATCCCAGGCCTGGACCCCTGAAGTCAAAGCCAAGAACCTGGGGCTGCACTGGTGTGTATGATCAAAGAGAAGGCGGCAGTGGCCCTGGAAACAAACTTGTCTCTGCAAGAGTCATTAGCAACCTGGGACCTCTGCCCAGGACTGAGACCTCAGGCGCTTCCTACCCTGGAGCTGCTGGGCCCAAGCAGCGTGGAGACAGAGCAGAGGTGATGGAGCCTGAGGTGCCAGGTGAGGCAGATGGTGGGGTGGTAGTCTCAGTGGTACAGGGGGCAGATACAGGGCTAGATATTTTCAGAAACCAGATATCCCTCTAAAACACACCCTACTTCTGCTGCCTTTATTCCACTGCCCTGCCTTCCTCAGCCCATTCTAGGCCACTACCTCCTTATGGGACTCCTGCCTCCCATTGCCCCCTTCATCACTGTCCATTCAGCATTGGGTAGAGAGGGTCTTTTACCCCTGACTGGTGAGGCCACCCTTCACTGTAAACTCTCCATCACTGCCCAGGCCATCACAGTATGGTTGGTAAACTCTTTTGTAAAACACAGGCAGCAAATGTCAGCTTTGTAGGCTCAGAGGGAAAACCAAGGATGTTATGAAGGTACATATCTAACAAGAGAAAAACACATGTCCATACGTTTTATTAATAAAATCCAAAACTCTAATACTTTGTTAAATATAATTCATTCCTTAAATGAATGAATGAGCAAAAAGCTTTTCACAGGTAGTTCCATTTTATAGATATGAAACAGACCCCGAGGGAAGTGAGCAGCCCAGAATCATGGCAGAGAGTGAAGATTTGATCCTAGATCTGACAGACTCTACCACCATGCTTGCCATTCTCAGCTTAGGAAAAAGATGGGGAGGAAGGTGTGGGTACTGGGCAAATCAGGGCCCAGATAGTCTGTTCAGTACGCTTACCTCTGTAGGAAGGAACAAAAGGCCCCATATCTGCTCTTCCTTCCTGGGAGTGTCTGTTAGGACCTGAATTCGGTACAGCTGGAATGACCAATTTTTCTCTGTTTAGAGCACTCATCCACTTGATACCTCACTTTGTTCTTACATGGTCCTCATAGAGGTATCCTGTGGATGCTGTCCCCAAAGCCTGAGAACATGGAGCTGAGGCCTCAGACTGTAACAGGGCCCATAATTTTGTATGAAGTTCAAGAATAGGCAGGGCTGGGCGTGGTGGCTCATGCCTGTAATCCTAGCACTTTGGGAGGCCAAGGCGAGTAGGTCACCTGAGGTTAGGAGTTCAAGACCAGCCTGGCCAACATGGCAAAACCCGCCTCTACTAAAAATACAAAAATTACCTGGGCATGGTGCTAAGTGCCTATAATCCCAGGTACTTGGGAGGCTGAGGCAGGAGAATTGCTTGAACCCGGTGGGGGGTAGAGTTTGCAGTGAGCCGAGATCATGCCACTATACTCCAGCCTGGGTAACAGAGCAAGACACTGTCTTAAAAAAAAAAAAACGTCTGGGACACCTTTTCTGCAAGGACTAATTACTACATGGGAGCTGTGTAAGGTGCTGAAATGTCCTAGCCCTACACTGTCCGATATGGTAGTTACTAAATTCAAATAAAATAGCAAGTTCCATTTCCCAGTCACACCAGCTATGTTGCTAGTATTCAGGAGCTTCCTGGGGCTGATGGTGCCATATTGGACAGCACAGCTTCAGAACTTTTCCATCCTCACACAACATTCTAGAGCTTAATTTGAATGTTAGTTACACAGTCCTGTGCCTTTACCAAATTCACTAACCTGAGCACTTGTATGTCTGTAAAAAATGCACATGTATTTTTGAAAGCACAAAGTTTCAAACCTCTGCCTGCCAGTCACTCACCAAACAACCTTTGGTTTAATTTCTCTGTGCCCCAGTTTCCCAACCTGTAAAAGAGGGTAATGATGACACCTCCCTTTGATTTGTTGAGAGTACCACCAAAGGTGTTTGCTGGGCAGCCTGACCTGCAGGAGGTTCTCAGGAAAGGGGAATTGCTGTCATTTGGTGGAAGTGGGTCCCCTTATCTGGTTGGCAGTGCCTGAACATTGCCACGCTTCAACACATTGTCCCCATGTTAAGGAACTCAGCATCACACAGCAAGCCCTTGAGAAGCCCACAGCCAGGGGCAGCGTGGGGGCAGCAGCACAGGTGGCTGTGGCTGCCCACGGGCACCCAGCCTAGGTCCAGAGGAGGTACCTGGATGAGGTGAGGTTTCTGTGTTGAGAGCTTTACTTTTCAGAGGCAGGCGTTTGAGGCACAGCTCTTTTTTTTTTTTTTTTTTTTTGGCACAGCTGTTAAGCAGCAAATCAGGAAGTCTTTTTCTATGGAGTCCCAAGCCCAGTGATTCCCTTGCCCTTCCTGGGAGTCAGGATGGGAAGGAGGGTGTGAAAGTGGCGTGGCTGTAGGCAACGAGGATGCCATGAGGTGTTCATGTTCTGTTTTACTAAAGTCTTCCCACAGAGTGATGCCATTCCATCCTCCTGGGAGTCTGTCCTCATTACACTTTCTAGGGAACAGGCTGAGAGCTGGGATATAGTCAGTCAGTGGCATGCAGTGGAGTCGCAGGTCCCGGGCCTTTGCCTCCCAGGCTGCATCCTCCCTGGGTCACCCCAGATCCACAGAGGCTGCATGTACCTCTATACTAGTGCCCAGGGCAGCACCATATCCCCAGGCTAATTCTGAGGAACATGGTTCACCCCATCACTACCCGTACAGATGCCTTCTTCACGTGAAGGGCACAAGTCACCTCATCAGTCAGCATGGATACTGCCTTCTCAGGCCCCACCTTTTTGCCTAGAGGTCTGATCCTGGGGTGGGGCACATGCTTTGCTGTAGAAGCTCAACTCAGACAAGCATCATACCCTCTCAGTAACTCATATCTTTCCCATAAATTTGGTTTCATTGTGTTGCCTCACTCAGGGGCAGAGTGAAGATCAAGTGAACTGATAACTGTAAGGTGTCTACAGCATGCTTGGCATATAAGTAAATGTTGGGGGCTGTGGTTCAGTCAAGCCCTGAAGGGTGGGCAAGAGGAAGCAGGCCCAGGTTAGGTCTGTACTGCGTTGGCAGGGCCTTGGGCCTTGGGGCCTTAGGGTCTCTGGGACCTAAGGGCAGGTCTAGCCACCCTCATAATCCCTCCACTCCCCCAGCTCTTCTGTCACAGAGGAGCATGGAAGAGGATGAGGTGGAAGCCCAGGACACTGCATTCCTGGCAGATGCTGTCCATGTGCGTTTCCCCAAATGGGCTCAGCATGCACATTCGTTTCCATCCCCTTCCTGTGGCACTTCTAATACCCACACAAGCCCTGGTGTGCACATCTCAGGGTAAGGTCTTCTTTAACCACAGTCCCTCTTCTTCTTCCTCCTCCTCCTCCTACTCATCCCTGGTTGGGGCTTAGAGATGAGGAAATGGGTAGAGGGACCCACATCTGAGCAGATCTGGGGCATAGGGGTTCTTTGTGACTGCACTGCTTATCAGTCAATACCCAGGACAGGGACAGAGTAGAGCCTGGCATGTTTGCTTAGACCCATGAGAGACAGCAGTGGATGAATGAGTGAATAGTGGCACTGAGCCACACCTGCCTTACAGCTGGCATCTGGATAGAGGGTAGGGGTTTTGGGGGTTAAGAATGGAACATTGGGGCTGGGCTCACGCCTGTAATCCCAAGACTTTGGAGGGCCATGGCGGAAGGATTCCTTGAGATCAGGAGCTTGAGACCAGCTTGGATAACATAGTGATACCCTGTCTATAAAAATTTAAATTAAATTAGTCAGGTGTAATGTCATGTATCTATAGTCCTAGCTACTTGAGAGGCTGCGGCAGGAAAATCACGTGAGCCCAGGAGCTCGAGGTTACAGCGAGCTGTGATTGCATCACTGTACTCCAGTCTAGGTGACAGAGCAAGACCACGTATCTTTTTTTTTTTTGGTTTCACCTTGTTGTTCATGCTGGTCTTGAACTCCTGACCTCAGGTGATCTACTCACCTCGGACTCCCAAAGTATTGGGATTACAGGTGTGAGCCACCGCGCCCAGCCAAGACCACGTATCTTTTAAAGAATGGAAAGTTGGCTGGGCGCGGTGGCTCATGCCTGTAATCCCAGCACTTTGGGAGGCCAAGGTGGGCAGATCACCTGAGGTTGGGAGTTCTAGACCAGCCTGACCAACATGGAGAAACCCCATCTCTGTAAAAAAGTAAATTAAAAAAAAAAAATGGAAAGTTGGGGTTCTGAAATTGATGTTGCCACATGACAGGTCCCTGGTCCTTGGGGTTTCCAGGGAGACACCACACAGGCGAAGGGACCGTCAATATAGCTAGGCTTGGGACCTTAACCCTGGGTCAGATATCTGAAGACTTGGACAGCTTCTCAGCCAGAGCCTGGGGACACCACTATGGTGTCAGGAAGGGTCTGGTTGGGGCACACGTCAGGGATGATGCAGACATGCTGTTGGCCTTCAGGCCTCCCCTACCAAGTCACGAAGGAGGTGGGGATCACACAGGAGTGACATCATCACTTCAGTGGGGGTAGGGGGAGCTGATGAGGGCTATCCAGCTGGCCTCTAGAGTCTACAGAGCTGAGCACTTAGGGGCGATGATGACAGATATCATAGTTCTGGAGGGTGGAAGTACAAGATCAAGGTGTCAGCATGATTGGGTTCTGGTAAGGACCTTCTTTCTGGCTTGCAGATGACTACCTTGGTGTGTTCTCACATGGAGCAGAGAAAGAGGGTTCTAGTTTTACTTCCTTTTCTTTTAAGGGCATAATCCCATCATGGGGGTCCCACCCTCATGACCTCACCTAAACCTAAATGCCCCTCAAAGGCCCCACCTCCAGATACTATAACCTTGGGGATTAGGGCTTCAACATATGGATTTGGGGGCATACAACAGTTCCTAACACACCGTGAAGGTGGGAACTACAGCACCCAGCACAGAATCATGGTGATAAGAGCACTCTCTCTTTAATTAGGCCATTTAGCCTCCCCCAAGACAACAGGGCATTTTCCAGAATATTAACCTACTGCCATTCCCCATGGGACTACCCTTGTCAAACATGGCCATGACTAAGGCACCACGTGTGATGTTTCAGAAGCCAGTGACCTTTAAGGATGTGGCTGTGGACTTCACATGGGAGGAGTGGGGGCTGCTGGGCCCAATGCAGAGGATCTTGTCCCGAGATGTGATGTTAAGGAACCACAGCAACCTGCTGTCTGTGGATGAGGCCCCTGTCTCTTCATCCTTGTCACTCCTGTATTTATCCCCTGCCTTGACTTCAGTTACTCACATGTTTATGTGTCCTGTGTTCCCCAGCCGGGTCCCCTGTGTGGAGAGACTGACAGCCCATCCCATATCACCAGGAAGAGACTTTTCCCATTCTTTGGCTTATATGCAGCAGTGTCTGATCCTGGCTGACTTGGAACAATATCATCCACATTTTCTTCCTCCTTTCTCACCACTGACAGGACTTCCTGATTCCAAACCAGATGTGATCTCTAAGCTGGAGCAATGGGAGGACCCATGGACTATGGAAAGAGACATTCCAAGTGAGTGAAATGAAAGTTTCTATATCAGATTGGTGGGTTTATTTCTTCTGTTTTGGGGCAGAGAAGTAACAGTATGCATCCAAGGTAAAAGATCCAGTAAGTGAAACAGCCCCAAAACAAACCCCACACTCATTAAGCAGTCACTTCTCCCAGCCCCTGACAACCTCTGATCTTCTTCTGTCTCTGTGGATTTGCATGTTCTGGACATTTCATATAAATGGAAATTAGAAAACTTGATATAAATACATAAATTCACATAGGGCCGGGCGCGGTGGCTCAAGCCTGTAATCCCAGCACTTTGGGAGGCCGAGGCGGGTGGATCACGAGGTCAAGAGATTGAGACCATCCTGGTCAACATGGTGAAACCCCGTCTCTACTAAAAATACAAAAAATTAGCTGGGCATGGTGG